CGGCTCCCCACTTATGTAAATGAAGCCTGGGAAATTCAAATCCCGGGCTTCATTTGCAAGTGCGGTATGCCTACATTACCTTCCTAGTTCGAACTCGTAGGGTAGTGTAGACATACCCTGAGGGAAGTGAGGTGTGGGAGAATAAAACTGAGCTCTGGAGAAATGTTTGGCTAGAGTTTCCCCTACAATATGTACCAGTTCCGACTTACATACAAATTCAACTTAAGAACAAACCTACAGTCCCTGTCTTGTACGTAACCCGGGGACTGCCTGTATCTGTTGACAAAGCCTCTGTCGACAAAAGCCTGTAGTCTAGACGTACTCCTAGAGTCTGCACATACCTAGAGTCTCATAATCGCACATCCATCTACAGTCATTCATTAATATAGATATAATATAACCTTATTATATTATGATATAATATAATGTTGTAGACTCTCTCTCTGTCATACACATACACACTGTGGTTATAGTTGTACAGTCACACAATTTCTCTTAGGCTCTTAACTACATTACCCACAACTACAGCCATTCATAATTACAGTCACATTAGTATAATATTTTAGTCTCTTTTATACAGTCTCCCACAATCATACTTTTTTAATCATGCACACCAAACTACAGTAATTCACAGTTGTGGCCATCAAGTTTTAGTCATACATACAGTTACAGTAATTCATAGATGTACAAGCTCAACGCCAGGCTCCTAATCTCATGCACAAATACAGTCATGCTGTTATAGTTTTTTACTTATGCATCCATACACAACTGATACAGTGTAACTGTGAATGACTACAGTTGTGTGAGGATGCATACCTAAGATTATGAAGACATGGCTGTGAGATTAAGAGACTGTGTCTGAGCCTGAGTTTATGCATCTGTGAATGACTGTATCTGTATGTGTGACTAAGACTTTATGGCTGTACTTGTGAATGACTGTAATGGGGTGGGTTGATTAAGCGATTATAACTGCGAGAGAATGTACCGCATGGGAAGACTTAGAGACTGTATGGGTTGTGAGTGCAATTGTGAATGACTGTAATTATGTGGTGGGAGGAGGATGTAGTAAAGAGTCTATGACAGAATGACTGTAGATATGTATGTGACTATGACTTTTCAACTATGACAATGGTGTGTGTGAGTGAGAGGGAGAGAGAGAGAAACAAATTGTGTGGCTGTGACTATATCTCTGAATGACTAGCTACAGGAATGAGAGCTTGTTTGGCTGTGAATGCATATCTGTGAATGATTGTAGAAGTGGGGGTGGGGTGTGTTTTAGGAGACTGTACAACGGTGACTGAAGTTTGTGTGAGATTGCAACCCTGCTGGATGTGTAGTTTATGTCTATGCCCACCCACAACACACGACACAGGTGCCTCCCACCCTCCCTGTGCATGCCTAGGATAAAGACCAACTGCAGGCTGGTCCATCTGCAGTGACCACAACCCCATTTATTATTATATACAAAATTGGCTACTAAACTCATGACAAGGGGAATGGAGCTACCATGCCGCCAGACAAACGGCAGAAGAACATACACCAAACTGGATGGCAGACCACCCTGGAGCTGTGTCATGGGCTAGAACCCGGTGACCACCACTAAACGACTCAGGAAGGGACGAAGAATTGACCCCTCCCCCCCAGCCCTCTGGTCCAAAGACGGGACCTGTTGACCTAGAGGTGACAGGCAACGACTCCAGGGTTCCAGTCCCATCCCTGAGGGACCATCAGCCCTTCCTGCCTCCCCGCCCAGCTGTCTGTGAAATCGGGGAGGATCCTGACTGTAGGAAATGAAAGGGGAATTACTTAATGGGGGATAAAGTGCTATTGAAATGTTATGCTGATGAATAGCAATGAGTATAATTTTTCCTCAAACTTCTTGTCCCAAGAATGGAACACGGGAGGCCGGAGTCCTCCCCTCCCAGAACCAGGGAAAGAACCTAGGAGTCCGGGTTCCCAGCCCAAGCCACCACCCTAACCCCCCAAGCAAAGAATGGAACCCAGGAGTCCTGGGTCTCACTCCTCCCCCTCACTCTAATTTTCCAAACCCACTTCCTTCCACAGCTCTGTAAGGGGAGGGAGGTTCTAGGGGGTTGGGCGGGGGGAAAGGGGGAGCTGGGATCCAGGACTCCTGGGTTTTCTCCTCATCCCGTGTGGCTGTGAGACCACCACTGTAGGAGTCATGAGGTCTCTAGTGGGCTGGGAGTAGCTGAGTCTCTGGGGCGACCCAGGGGGCAGAAAGTGTGTTCCCACCCCCCTCCTCCATTTCACAGCAGGAGGCACGTCCCTGATTTGCTGCTGACGCTGTTGGCGGGCATGGTGTGGTCGAGGTCCCTGGGGATGGTGCCTTTGGGCCCCCAGATGTTGAGTTCCCTGATGACCCCGGTCTCCACCATCTCCTCCTGCCAGGGAATGGGGATGTTGCCAGAGGAGAACTCCTCATAGAATGCCTTGTCCTGGTCATCCAGCATCACCCCCTTCACTGTGGAGAAGGCGCCCACCTCCTCAATGTCCTTGGCGTAGACCGTCTTGGGGTCGGGCACAAAGGGTGGCTCCAGCAGACCTGGATGGGGGGACATGGGAACATGGGTGGAGTGTTAGGGGCTATGGAGGGACAGCCTCGATGCAGAATGCAACTGGCTGTGCACAGCACAAGCTTGTGGACACCATGACCACTGCACACACAATCCAACCGCAATCACAGCACAGACAATGCTACCCTATGGTACCACTGCCTGATTCTGCACTGTGATCAATGCACACACAACTCAACCAGTACCACTGCACATCCCACACAACCCCGTGGCAACACTGCTCAGTTCCTCACCATGACCACCGCACACACAACCCCACCTCAACCGCAACACACACAATCCAACCCTCTGGCACCATTGCCTGGTTCCCCACTGTGATCCCCCCCTCCACACAACCAGTCTTGTCATCACCAACACTGGTTCCTCACCATGACCAGCACACACACAACCCAACTACGACCAATCTATACATAACGCAATACACATGGTTGCCCAGTGTAACCACCACATGCCCCTCCCCACGTCAGCACACTTGTCCTCACTGCAGCCACGACTCTCAGTCCCCACTATAGCACCTGACATGCACAACCCCCAATAACCATTACAGCCACTGCATACACAAACTCCAATATCCACCAGACAACTCCTAACACACCAGAAACATCATGCATGCAACCTAATATTCGCAACCCTCAATACTCTCCACAGCCATCACACACACAAACTCCAATATCCACCACACAACCCCCATTACACACCACAACCGCTGCAGACATGGCTAATGACACCCACAATCCCAGATACCTGCCACAGCTCCCATGCACACAACTCCCAATGAGCACAACCCCAATATACACTGTAGCCCAAAATCCACCCCAGCCACCCCACACACAGATGCCCATACACACCACAAACACAAAACCCCCCAGTACCCAATACCTGTCACAGCCCAAGGTACACAGCAACGCCAACACACATGATGCCCCAATACATATCACAACCATCCCCCCCAACCTGTACACACCACTGGTCCACTGCATGCACACAAAGGTCTCTGAAATACAGAACCACAGGCTGTGCACTCTGTAACACACACACACAGTGGTGGTGCCCTGGGCAGGTGGACTTGAGAAGATGAGTTGGCAACCCATCACCTCTACATTTGATTTCTCTTGGGGG